GCGGGGAGGGAGGGGAAAATATGAGGAGCTGATGCCAGGGGCTTAAGTGGAGTGCAAATGCTATGAGAATGATGAGGGCAATGAATGTACAAATGTGCTTTACCCAATTGATGTATGTATGGATTGGGATAAGAGTTGCGTGAGCCCCTAATAAAAAGATTTTTTTTTAAAAGAAATACCAGAAAGAAAATAAAAGAAATCACAGAAAAAATAAACAGAACAATATTATTGTGAGGTATTTGCTTAGAGGTCTATTTTCTCTCTTTAAGAAAATAAAAAATTTAACAATTAAGGTCATTGAAGAAAGACAAGAAGTAACCTAACGCTTTCAACACCATCCTTTAAAATTCGAGAAAAGTAGATTCCTGTAAACCTAATGTTATTTTTGTACCCTTGTAATTTTAAATCAATTGTTCTTAAATTAAGATATATAGAAAAAACTGATTTCAGATCCAACAGGCCAGAAAATACTTTTGCCTACTTTTGTAAAAAGGCTGAATTTTTTAAAGTCTCTAAAAAATGGTCAGATAATTATGCCTATTAAATTAAAGACTGAAATATCTTATCATTTTTAAGAAGCTATTACTTTAGCATAATGATAAAATTCTCTGCTGTCCTTTTCCTCAAATAAGTGAAACAAAAACATGTCAATCATGTAGGTTAGTGAAGTATCAGGGTCTCAAATCTCCCCTATAAAGGATAGAGTAAGCTCATGCCGCAGGATAAACTTCCAAACATTCCAAATGAGGTTTAAAAGTACAGCGTAATTCTAGTCAAACAAAATGAATCCCTCTCCTCGGGTGAGCACATGGAAGAGGAGGGAGAAAGTTAATCCAGAATCCTATGGCAAGGGGCTTTTTATAATCCAATTTTCATTCACTGACATAGAGCAACCATGTGAACTGGCATCAATATATTCTATTCCTCAGATGTAGGTAGACAAAATAAATGTGAAATCATCCAGTCTCCAAAAGTAAAAAGAACTTTAAAACATTAGTATTTTTATGATTAAACATTGTGATGACACATTAAAACCCTAGCATGACATGTTAGAGCCATGGTTCTCCACCTTCCTCGTGCCACGACCTTTCATACAGTTCCTCAGGAGGTGCGGACCCCAGCCATAACATGATCTTTGTTGCTACTTCATCACTGTCATTTTGCTACTGTGATGAATCGTAATGTAAATATCTGATATGCAGGCTGTATTTTCATTGTTACAAATTGAACATAATTAAAGCATAGTGATGAATCACATAAACAGTATGTAATTACATATTGTGAAATATTTATTTCTAATGACAAATAAAATTTAGTCTTGAAGCATGGTGTAGCATGGGTAACAATCTTAATGTAACAACAGTAAACTACACTGCTACATTTGCAACAGTATATAGTACAAAAGCCAATGTCAGTGCGAAGGATGAGACAGCTTCTTTCTCACATCAGCCTATCTGCATGTGGGCGGACCCACCTGGAGACAGATAGAGGAGCTGTGTCTAGGTTCCTAAGACCATCAGAAATATGTTTTCTGATGGTCTTAGGCGACCCCTGTGAAAGGGTCGTTCGGGGTCACGACCCACAGGTTGAGAACCACTGTTAGAAACCTCACAGATTTTGGAATCCAACAGACAGTTCAAAACCCAGCTTCTGTTTCCTGTGGTGAGTATGATGCAGGGAACAGAGCTATGAAAACTTCTCAGCCATTGCAAACACCTTGAGAGAATGAGTCACTGGCCGGAGCACATAGAAGCATGGTCGCGGAAACACTAAGGACCTAGTCCTTGGCATCATGACGTCCACACAAAGACAATGCTCTACACATACTAGTAGTAGCTAGGAATATAAAGCTCATAAGGTGCACCTACTGATCTCCTACCACCTGGAACATACTATATATTAGTGCAATGGACTAGTGGACTACAGGAGTCACATTCTTCATAAACCTGAGACAGAAGAACTAGAAGGTGCCTGGCTACCAAACTGACCACTAGGAAAGAGATCACATTAGAAAGCTCTAGATAACAGTGGGAGAAAATGTGGGGAAAACCTCAAACTCTTGAAAAAGACCAAGCTGACAGATAGAACAGGTATTGGTAATGCTCTACTGCCCCACCCCCCAACCCACTTAGCTGCTCGATTTTCCACCAAACAATAGACAGGTTTATCCAGGGTACACTAACACTAAAAAGGCACACACTCTTTAGAATAATCAGCCTTTTGAGATGAAAAGAGCAGCATTTACCCAAGGACAGAGTCCAGAGGGATGGACACAGGAAGCACAGAAAGTTCAGTGGGGACTGCACTCAATAACACGAAAGAAAATGTCTAAGATCTGTTTAATGGAAAACGGATTTTCACTTTAGCTTTCACTCAAGCTTTTTTTATTTTTAAATAACTAAGGTAACATTCATCTCATAAAGAAATAATATATGTAAACAGCAAAATGCCAAGCACACAGTAAATGCTTAATAAAAGTAATTCTTAGTCCACGTAAATATTAATCATTCCTACAGGTTTAAGCAATCACATATGTTAATAATAGATAAAGAAAAAAAGTGTGATGTAAAGGAAACAGTGCAGGAAACCCAGGAAAAATTGGAGGCTTAATTAAGAGATATCTAGGAAATATAATAAGAATTACTACTATTTTATTTCCTCGCGGGGAAAAAAATATTACCTTCTAAGAATGTTAATGAGAATTAACTAATCTAAATAAAAATAGACACTGGTTGAAAATTATAAAAATGAGAAGTTAGTCTAAGTATAAAAAGAAAGGATATACAAAATATATCTGTCATTTGGAATACTAAAATGGTAAAAAATTACATTACTTTGTAAATTATATTGGTACCAAACTCCCTAGAGCCTGTCTTTCCAAACATACAAAAAAAAAAATTTAACCTTTAGAGGGTTTTTTCCTCTTTTCTTCACCTTTATATAACTATGTGCCATTTAAATAACTTGATGTAGTTTAAATACTGCCCCGTGCTCTCTTCCTCTACTTATTTTATAAGAAAATGTACAAACTGCCCAAATTAACATTGGTTGATGATTTCTATCTGCACATTTGTGTAAAGATCACCCACCTGCCAGATGCTCAAGTAATTGAGTTCTCCATAGTTCCTACATTGCTATGGTTACCAAACCAAAAACTATAAAAATCAGAGAACTATAATCATTGTAGGACATGGTAAACCTCTTTTAAAGGTAGATATTCATCATCTCTTAACAAGAAATGCTAAGATGGCTTTCAGAAAACCAAGTATAAATATATAATACAACATTCCCAGGATGATGAAACTGTGTGTGAATGTATGTATGGTGTCTTTGTGTGTGTTGTGGGCAAGTGAGGCAGGTCCTCGGAACGTGTAATTGAGTTGACATTCGTGATTCTGGCAGGGAAGGATGGGTGTGCATCAGGGTTGCATGCTCTCACCACACTTTCTCAATCTACAATGCTGAGTAAATCATCAGAGAAGCTGGCTATATGAAAAATGTGGCATCAGGATTGGAGAATGGCTTATTAACAACCTGTAATATGCAGATGACACAATCTTGCTTGCTAGAAATGAGGAGGAATTGAAGCCCTTGCTGATGAAGAACAAGGATTGCAGCATTCAGTGTGGATTATGACTCAATGTAAAGAAGACAAAAATCCTCACAACTGGACCAATAGGTAACGTCCTGAGAAAAGGCTGAAGTTGTCGAGGATTTTGTCGAGATCAAAAGATGTACTGCACTCGGTAAATCTGCTACACAAGACCTCTTTAGAGTATTGAAGAGAAAGATGCTACTTTGAGCACTAAGGTGCCCCTCATTCAAGCCCAGGGTATTCTGCACTGCATCATATGCATGTGAAAGTTGGACACTGAATAAGGAAGATCATAGAAGAATCAATGCAAAATAGTGCTGGAGAGGAATATTGAAAGTATCAGGGACTGCTGAAAGAACACAGGATCTGTATTGGGAGAAGTAAGGCCAGGGTGCTCCTTAGAAGCAAGGATGACAAGACTTCATCTTATATACTTTGGACATACTGTCAGAAGAGACCAGTCCCTGGAGAAGGACATCACGATTGGTAAAGTAGAAAGGCCGTGGCAGAGAGGAAGGCCCTTAACTTAAGGAGATGGACTGACGCAGAGGCCACATCACCGGGCTCAGGCATAGGAACAAACATGAGGATGGTGCAGGACTGTGCAGTGTTCCTTCTGTTGTGCACTCGGTGGTTATGGGAAGGAGCAGACACGATGGCACCTAACAATTAACAATGCCTCAAGAAAGGACAACCAGAACTTCTCCATTATAGTAAAATTCAACTTGATTTCACTTGTGCATGTAGATAAGAGAAAGGTATATACATCATATATATATACACACACACACACATTCACTTTATGTTTTGGAGAAAGACATGCATAGATATACTACACATACCTTATAACAAATACTGATAATTTTGAAAATGTGACAGCTAAGTGTGACTTAAATATATATATAATATCTATCATAATGTAACAAATACTGGCAGTTCCTGAATTATGATGAGGTTCCATTCCAGCTTCATCCTAGGTAGAATACCACTTTTTAAATGTTCATTACTATTGCCATACATTATCAGTATCTTTATAAATGTGATCTTTCTCTGTCTTTGGGGATTGCTATGAGGATGGTAACATTAGACAATCGTGCAATGTAAAACTTCACAGAAGTATAAGCATAAAAGTAACAGCTGCGAAAAAGGACAGTCATGAGTGCAGTTCGTCCTAACTTGAGTCATTCACAAGTGGAGCACTACCTGTTCTGAAAAATGACATCTGCTTTAGAGGAACAAAGAGCTTAGCAAAGGGAATTTCTCTAAAGATCATCATGTTCCATTCCTTTCAACTGTGGCACAAAGGCTTAATTTTACTGTCCATTATGAGAGAATGGCCTAAAAACAGGGAACACAATAAACAGAGTTTTGAAAGTTCAAACCATTCTTCTTGGCTTACACTTACTCTCTGTAACTCCCACTTCTCAATCAGGTGCTGCACTTCACCCCCAAGAAGGGTGGTGTTGGAGTCATTCAGGAGCAGGAACCCGTTCTGTATGCCGATAATGCCCGAGAGCTTAATTTTAGTTCCAGGTGGTGTGTTCAGGCTAAAGCAAAGAAAAAATTAAAACAGGTTGAAGCTTCACTGTGAAAGTGGAAATGAAATTTATACTTATATTAAACAATAATTTTTTTTTTCAGGAGACTAGCTACAATGTGAACAGATCATCAGACAGGAAGTCAGAAGGGTCCGGCACAAAGCTATGGTTTTCTAGCTGAATGATTAAAAGGGGAGCTTCAGTTTACACACACACACACACACACACACACATTTTAGAGTGAATAATAATTAGACCTTATAGAATTGTGGTAAAAATATATCCAATAAGGCATAAATGTAAAATTTGCTATTTTTTTCTTGGTGCTTTGAATGTGCAATGCAAACAGACCACATTACAAAATTAAATTTTGACTCAAAAATAAAATACACTATAAGAGCTACAGTAATTCACACAAAATAAGGCTCTTTGAAAATAATCTAAAGATGATATGAGATTTTTGTGTTCTCAGTAATGTTTTTTTTAAAATGCTCTACAACACTCTAGTATTCAGTAATGTTTTTTAAAAAATGCTCTACAATACTCTAGTATTCAACAGATTTAGGGCAAATGTTAGAACCATATTTCCTTTTATGAAAACTAAGTTTACCCTTTAAACTATGAATCAGAACTATTCTAGAGGTCACCTTCCTACTAAATAAATGGCTCATAAAATAAAGACCGTCAGATGTTGAGTCTGTGCTCCTCTAAAATACCATCAGAGGAGACCAAAAGTCAAGATATACTCTGAAACAAAGGTGAGAAGGTGAGGGGCAGTGAACCTGGACAACTGGAAACAGACACAGACGAGAACTGAAATAAGCAGAATGTGCCGATACACTGTGAAAAAGGTAAACCATGCACAACAATTGATCGAGAAATCATTAGTGGGAATCTAATTTGTTATGTAAGCTTGTACTTGAAAGCACAATATTATTTGGAAAAAAAACCCCAGCCAACCCAAGTTTATCTTTAGATAAAAAAATTCTGATAAAGGAAACAATGGGAACAATCTATTTTATCATGTAATCCCATTCGAAAATAAAAGCATAGGCTATTAGAGCAAAGTGTTGCGTTGAGTAGAGGCCCAATGTCCACCTGCTACCTTGATACTTAACATATAAATATATGTACATAGATCTACTTCCTTATCATAATATATAAGTATATTTACATATGTACATGCCTATCATTATATATAAATATATTTATATATGTAATGCCTATACTTAGACCTCGATAAATGCCCTTTGCCTCCTAGTTCTTTCTTCTATTTCCTTTTACTTTCCTCTTGCCCAACTATCATGTTCAGCCTTCATTCAGGTTTCAGTAATTTCCTCAGTTATACTGCCCTGCATCAAGCCCTACCAAGCATCCTGTGCCCTCCTCGCCATTGATTTTAGATCACTTGTTGTTCCCTTGTCCTTGGGTGTGTTAACATCACTTCCCACTCCCCCAACCATCGGTCTTGTTTTCTCCTCCGAATTGTTTATCCCGCCTATCTTACCTAGATAGACATGCACACACAAAAAAGACACAGCAAAACAAAACAGAAAAAAAAAAAAAAGAAAGAAAAGAAAAGCCTATAAATAGTTCTAGGTCTGATGGGGTGCCACGCCCTGGTCCCAAAGTCTATTTTTGGTATTCTCCAGGCTTTCATTGCTTTACTCCCCTTGCTGCTCTGTTGCATGTCCTTAGCGTTCCACCCCAGTGTGGTGGAGTCACTGACCCATAACGCTGCGAGGGACAACACTGGAGGGACAGTGCGGGATGTCTTGTCTCATGGTGGGTTTGGCCCTATGGTCCTCTCTGTGCATTGGCAGCTCTGAGCTGGAATATTGTCCTCAGGACTTGGTGGGCAAGGATGTGTTCCATTCTCTCTCCCTCCCCCTTCATTTGCTCCTGGGTGCTCTGATCAGACGCTCCCCTCTCCCTGAGCTGTACCTTCAGTGCTGTCCTCTGTAGTACATTCTTCTGAGACAATTGCATTAGACAAAACGGGTGCATAGCAAATGTGGTGAAGAAAGCGGATGGTGTCCAGCTATCAAAAGATATAGCATCTGAGGTCTTAAAGGCTTGAAGACAAACATGCAGCCACGTAGCCGAGAAGCAACACAGTCTACATGGAAGAAGCACACAAACCTGTGTGATCAGGAGGTGTCAATGGGATCAGGTATCAGGAATCAAAGACCCAGAAAAATTAATATCAATGTGAATGAGGGGCAGTGTGGAGTGGAGACCCAAAGCCCATCAGTAGACAATTGAACAAAGGTGGAGTTTTCTTGAGTTTTTTCAGTTTCAGATATGCTGAGCGTGTTCTTCCCGTTTGGTTTTCTAATTCTACGCCTCTGCACATTTCATGACAATATTTGGCTTTGTCTTCTAGAGGGACCCTTTGACATTTTCTGCTCACACCTCTGACTTCATCGTTTGCGCCATTTACTTTAGCTACTCTACAATTAAGAGCAAGTTTCAGAGTCCCTTCTGAACCAACTTTCATCTTTTCTTTCTTTTCTGTCTTTTTAAGGACCTTTTGCTTTCCTCATGAATGACAGCCTTAATGTTCGCCCACAGCTATTCAGGTCTATGTCATTAGTTTTCAATGCATCAAATCTGCTCTTGAGATGGTCTCAAAAGTCAGGTATGATAGCCTCAAGGTTGTATTTTGATTCTTGTGGATTTGTTTGAATTTCTTTCAGCTTTATCCTCAACTTACAAATGAGCAATTGATGGTGTGTTCCAATAAGTCCTTGGTCTGTTTTTAGCTGCTGATACTGAGCTTTTCTATCACGTCTTCCCACAAATGTAGTCAATTTGATTTCTGTGTATTCCACCTGGCTAAATCCGTGTGTATAGCTGACTTTTGTATTGCTGAAAAAAAGGGTATTTGCTATAAATAAGGTACAGATTTTCATATGATCTCCAGCTTCATTTCTATCACCAAGTCTCTATTTCCAGATACTTCTCCTCCCTCTGTTTTCAGCCTTTACACCAATAACTGTCTAAGCGTCTTGATTGCATGTTTGATTGATTTCCGACTGAAGTTGTTGGTAGAATTCTTCAACTTCTTCATCACTAACTTTTGTGGCTCGTGCATAAAGTTGAGTAATAGCTACACTGATTAGATTTTAAAGGCAGATAGATATAATCCAATCACAGATAGCATTGTACTTCATGATGGATTTATCAAGATCCTTTCTGACAATGAATGCCACACCATTTCTCTTGCTTGTGTTATTCCCAGCAGAGTAAATCATATGATTTTTTTAATTCGAAATGGCCAATATTAGTCTATTTCAAGCTCACTAATGCCTAGGATATAGATCTTCACACATTCCATTTCATTTTTGACCACTTCCAATTTTCCTAAACTCATACTTTGCAAACTTTATGCAAATGATTGGGTCATTTAAACAGTGATAATATTTAAAGATAAAAGCTACTCCTGAAGGGAGATGAAATAATTTTTATGTAAAGTGACAGTGTCTTCTCTAAATTCCAACTAATTTAAGAGATAAAATGATGTGAAATTATCTAAAAATGGACCAAGAATTTCATTTGGAACTGGATGAATGCCACCAGACTAAATAAATTTCGATTCCCAAATGGGATCGAGTTAGAATTTTAATTGAGTTTTACTCCATCACCTTCAGAACCATACTTAACTATTAATCAGAGAGGAAGCACACACTGGTTTAACTGCCATCTTAACTAGTACTCTCAAGTACGTCTAAGGAGCTCTGGTAGCGCTGCAAGGTCTGCGGTTCACAACCTCCAGCCGCTCCATTGGAGAAAGGCAAGGGTGTCTGTTCCCATACAGACTGACAGTCCCTGAAATCCTCTATGAGGTCACCCTAAACCAGAATCAACTCTGTGGCGGGGTTGGGGTTGGGGTTGGGGTTGGGGTTTGGAAGATGCCTTTAATGTCCAGTAAGTAGGCCAGAAGAAGAGTGGAAAGAAAAGGGATCCTAAGAAGTGCCCAAATGAAGTATGAGTTTACCACTTTCCTTCAAGGTAACCACGAAGCACACTTATTTTTAAGAAGGGTCTCTCCCAAACTACTCACATCATGTAGAATAGCAGTTTTGTAAGTTGTCTTTCTGTGGCATCAAAAAGACATGCTACTTCAATGATGAGAGAATGGACATGTGGCAGTTAAGTTCCTCCAAAAGAGGCAGTAGACAGCACATGGCAGGGCCCTCCCATCTGAGCACACCTCATGCTTTCATATAGCTTTTGGTGGATCTGACTGAATATGTCACAGGAGGAAAGGCTGTGTTTCTCCACAAAAGTAGGAGTTCTTCTACTCTTCCAAACGAAGGCAACATAATCACAAAGTCAATAAACCCCCTGTGCAAATGAAAATTAACATTTTAGAAACACATACAACTACTATGTCTCCTAAAGAAGGGTTCTTTTGGAGAGGCAGACATCACTGACGGAAGACAAAGTGAAGGGAAGCCACTACCCCACTTCTCTGGCGTTGACCCATCCCACCCAACGGAACTTCTCAATGATCGCAAACCATGAAGGTTCTGGCCAGAAAGTTGTCTTTCCATATCTTGATCCCCTCCCCACCTCTCTTCCAATACCTACTCACATTTGAAGTGCTACTTCTGCCTCCCCCAGGTAGTACAGTCGATCTTCTGGTCTACTATTACATTCAGTTGATCTGTTTAAGATACTTGTATGCTTATATTTAGGATATAGGCTACTAGAAGACTAGGTCTAGATGTTTACATCAAATGAGAACGAGCTAGAACAGCAGAGCGGCAAATATGAACATATGAAAGGACACAGAAGAGAAGGGAGGGGGAGCTGAGGAAAGCCTACAAATGTGCAATGAAAACTCCTACTTCAGAAACAGCTCAAAGTGGCCCAATGGAAACACATTCCCTCCTTCTTTCTGGTTGCTCTCCTTCATTCTAGAAGGCAGTTCTCAAAAAGTCCCTGTAAAAAATAGCTAAAAGAGGAATTTAAAAAACATGTTCCTTTCAGAATTGCCCATCTTTGAAAGTCAAGCACATTGAACCTTCTTCATTTAAGCATTTCCTAAGAAAACTCATTATCCTATGTGACTTCTTTAGAACACTCAGTAGTCTAATGGCCACAGTTATCACACTGTCAAACTATGTTTGTTCAAGGCAAATAAGTGGCATCAAATTTTCTAGGGCAAACTGAAAAGATCATATTTCATGCAAGATCACATCTCACATTTCTATTTTTATAATTAACATGGAAGGAGGAAATGACTCTACCTTTAACTATTTTTCTAAATAGGTCAAGCAGAAAAGCAAAGTTCTACTCTTTCTTCTGGAAAATTATAACACTCTTTCTTTTCAAAATACTGAAAACAAATTCACTCCGAACAGCATCTTTGAACCCCGTAACAAATGTACAAAGTGTCAATCACCTTATTTTTGACATATAATTGAATTCCACTGCTGTGCAACTTATATGACCATCAGTCATCTGCAAGCGCAGCATTCTGGGTGCAGCCTGAGAGTCTTCATGATCCTTGGGTGCAGCGACATTGCGAATTTTTTGAATCTGCAGAACACATGGACCTTCAAGCTGTCAAAGTGCAAAAGAATAAAAAAAAGTAATCACTTTTTAGTCACGTGTTCCATCTACAGTGTTTCCCTTTCCCCTAATAAGTATGCTTTACGATTTATAATGCTAACATAAATTATATATCAAAAATTGAATTATATGCATCGGGATCTAATTTTGGGTTTTTTATTTTATTTTGGTTTGGCTATTTTTGCTTTCATTTAAATGTAAAACTTCACTCAAAATGGTCTCAAAAGTGCCATTTTAAAAAATGAACCCCCAAAAGAGGAAGACTATGATGGAAACAAGTCAAGACATTGGGAAGTTTGATGGGTTGGTGAACGTAAAACTGATGATCTGCTCTGTACACCTTGACGTAATTCACAATAAAATAAATTTTAAAGAAATTAATCCTAAATTTATTTTCAGAAACCAACAAAAGAAAACCCTGGGGGTAATGGAGAGTGATGCTTCATATGCTCTAATGGTTTATATACAGTACCCTCCTCCCTCCAACCACCACCATATAAACTAACGGACATTTGGAATTACAGTACTTGGTCATTTTAAGGGACATCAGCTTTACTGCAGCAGTTGAAAGGAATATTTTTTTTTTTTGTTAAAATCAAAAAGTTTAAAGTACACCCTCTTCTGGAATAACTGAAAAATGCATTACCCTGGGATTTAATGTGACATGGAACTTAAGTGGGATCTGTACTTGACTTATTTCCGAGTTTTCTTTCTTAAATGGGTTTCAATATAATGCTGTCCTGTATGTGTTCATGTTAGGAAGGGAGAAAAAATTCTCTCTGACCACATTTTTGTTTGTTTGTTTGTTTTTTAAATCATTTTATTAGGGGCTCATACAACTCTTATCCCAATCCATACACACATCAATTGTGTAAAGCGCATTTGTACATTCATTGCCCTCATCATTCTCAAAACATTTTCTCTCCACTTAAACTCCTGGCATTAGGTCCTCATTTTTCCCCTCCCTCCCCGCTCCCTCCTCCCTCATGAGCCCTTGATAGTTTATAAATTGGTATTTTGTCATATCTTGCCCTGTCCGATGTCTCCCTTCACCCACTTTTCTGTTGTCCGTCCCCCAGGGAGGAGGTCACATATAGTTCCTTATAATCGGTTCCCTCTTGCCTACCCACTCTCCCTCTACCCTCCCTGTTTCGCCACTCACACCACTGTTCCTGTAGGGCTCATTCGTCCTGGATTCCCTGTATTTTCAGTTCCTATCTGTACCAGTGTACATCCTATGGTCTAGCCAGACTTGTAAGGTTGAATTCGAGTCATGGTAGTGGGAGCGGGGAGGAAACAATTAGGAACTAGAGGAAAGTTGTATTTCTCATCGTTGTTACATCGCACCCTGACTGGCTCATCTCCTCCCAGAGACCACTCTGCAAGGGGATCGCCAGTGGCCTACTAATGGGCTTTGGGTCTCCACTCCGCACTCCCCCCATCATTCACTATGGTAAGATTTTTTGTCTGACCACATTTCAAAGACAAAAATAGAACTGATGAAAACTCTACGTATAAAGTTATAAATTTATATAATAAAATGCCCATGGCATAGTTAAAAAATGACAGAAAAATCTGCTTAATATCTGAAACATAAGTTTAACATAAAGTGTTATTCTTTACACTGTAAAATATTATGCTTGTAAAGCTTCATACCTATAATACCAAAAAAGTTACTTTTTTTGGTCATAGTCTTGTAACTAAATATTTTCAGTACACATTAAATTAATTCATAGTTTCAACACAGAGAAGTGTAAACCAACTGACAAACTTTCATGCATACTATCTGAGTAAGCAAGGCCCAGGTTGAAACTCTTCTACTCCACAATTGTCAGTGTTTGGATGGCAAAGGAATGGCTATGTTTTATTAATTTAGTTATAGACACTATAATGAGGAAACAAACCAAAATTTCACCTAGTTTTTAGTTGAAAAAAATTACCAAGTTAAAAAAAAGACTAAACCTCTTACTAGGGATAGAAAAACTGCTTACTCAGGATGAATTTTTACTTTTATGAACAGCATTAGCAAAGATATTTAAATTAAATAACAGGCAGTTATGATTATTATAATGTTCATCTCTCCTTTTATTTTCTGACTCGGAATACATTTAGCATCAAACTCTTCACCATCGAATCGATTCTGACTTATAGTGGCCCTACAAAATAGGGTAGAGTTACCCTTGTGGGTTTCCAAGATAGTAACCCTTTATGAGAATAGAAAGCCTCATCTTTATCTTGGGAAGCAGCTGGGGATTTTGAACTGCTAGCCTTGGGGTTAGCAGCCCAAAGTATAACCCATTACGCTACCAAGGCTCCTATTAGCACAGGCATTGACAAATATGTAGCCTGCAGTGTCTAATATTGTCCACCAGCAGCATGTGGCTATTCACATTTATATTTGAATTATTTAAATTAAAAATTCAGTTCCTCAGTAGTACTCCACACATTTCAACTGTTCTCTACCTGCGCTACACCAAAAGAGATAACCCCACAGAAAATTCTACTGACAGTCAGAGATAATTCTAGACCAACCTGTACCAGTGTTCCAAAATGAGAAACATGAGCTAGAGACTGCACATGGCATTGCAGTGCGGGAGAGGAACCTGCACTTCTATTTAACTGTTTGTAAATGAGTCGTTAAGCTTCACTAATAACTATGCCCAGAGCAATAAGCATCCTCATACAAGGCACAGGTATGTTCATGAAATTTTGGAAATTCCTCCAGCAGGGTGGGTGCGGATGTGTGGCATGACACCGTGGCTAGTCTGTTGGTCTACAGTATGTTATGGCCAACTTCCCTTCATTTGTGCCTCATTAACTGGACTTACGGTAATGCTCACAAAATGGGCAAGTAACTCTTAGAAATTCTGCCAAAGAATTGACGATCACACCGCAGTGCAAACAGGGTGCAGAAAGCGGTCTGCTGAGCTCCTCCAGCTGGGAACAACTGGAGAAAGGTCCCTGGAAAGAACTGACGGTGATTTCTGCCTACAGCTGCTTTAAAGGGAGCGTAAGAATTAAGTAACATCTATTATGCTCTTTCTATTCACGTCTTCATCCTGTCAAAACAATTCTTAATATCATTTTAACACAACTTGACTTCAATAAACACAGAAATGAGGCGGGCAGGAAGAGATAAGGAACACGAGTGTGATGTGTCAGACCCAGTACTATCCTAAATAGGGAATCAGATTCAAGAGAAGAAGAGTGAAAGACAGCAAATGGGGTAATCTATTAGCAATTTCAGAACCTTTCCTCAGGCCTTCCATGCAGGAATCTGTAAGAAGCCTCAATTCAGAGGATTTTTCCTCTAGAGTGGATCTAAGTTTGCTTCTGACAGTTAAGAACATTACAATTGACAGTTCTTCGCTTGTGGAGAAGTGAGAAATATAACCATAGACCATAGGTTTCCAAACTTATTTGACCTACCACCCCCTTTTCAGAAAAAAAAATTGTTTTTTACTCAGTGTGCTTCATGGGAATTTAAAATTTTTGTACGATATAATACAGGATATAATATAGGTATCTACTTTTGCAGCTCCTCCTGGATCAATACAAAGGCCCCGAGGGAGCAGTATTACCCACTTTGGGAAATACAGTATTACCCCCTTAGGCAAACCTTAGCCTCACTCACAGCTGTAGGAACTCCTAACAAAGCTAAACACTTTCTTAGCAGCAAAGCAACAAAGCCCAGATGGAAGAAGTACACCAGCCTTCGTGATCATGAGGTATCAACAGTGATCAGGTATCAGGTATCAAAAGATCCAAAACAATTATATAGATGCAAGTGAGGGGTGGGACAGAGTGAAGACCAAAGCCCATTTGTAGACAATTGGACATCACACCACATAGGGGTCATGAGGAAGGGACAATTCAACCAGGGCAATTTCTCCTGAGCCATATGATTGCAGGGCTAATTAGTCCCAAATTGACATGGGTAGGCAGACAGTTTGCTGGCTCACTGTGAAAAAGAATGGGTGAATCCCAACATCTACAAGTGAGATAGCAGGCTACTAGCTCACTCCCCAAGAACTGTAAGGATGGCAAGTCAGGTAAAGGATTGTGAGAGAGCAGGCTATGCCAGAGCATTCATATATACTGGATGAAGGTCACACCCCTAGGGAAATTCCTCTTTTAGCTGATTGGCTGCTCCTGTCAGATCCCTAATGTAGGATATCTCTCACTAAAACCTCACCATGAAACAGAAGCCCTGAAGAGTCTTAAAGAAATTAAATATGCAAAAATCATCAGAGGGAAGAAATCATTAGTAGCAGACTGTACAAAGAACAAATTATTCCAATTCTATATAACATTTTTCACACAATAGGGAAAATCTGAGAATTTCTACCTCAGTCAAAAAAACCCCAGCACAATCTTGATATTATAACCATAATAGAAAAAGAAAACTAGAATACTATCTGATTAGTGACTATACATGCTCAAATCCTAATAAATATTAACAAAAGCAGCAATGGGTTAAAAACCCATCATATCTAAATTGGATTTAGCACAATACAAAAATGGGTGAACATTAGAACATCCATTCATGCAAATGACCACATAAATAACTTAAAGGAGAAAAATGATATTATCATACCAAAAGATGCAAACAAAATTGGATAAAATTCAACATCTACTCATAAAAATTCTAACAAAAAAAGAGAAAGAAAATTTTCTTATCTTGATAAATAGTACTATCAAAACAACTGTTATTCTTGGTAGTAAAATATTAGCAACTTTCTCATTAAAATAACGAATAAAAAGGTGCTAGTTTTATTTCAGAAAGATGTTTACTTGTGTTTTATTGACTATGTCAAGGCATTCAACTGTGTAGATCATAACAAACTATGGATAGCCTTGAAAACCATGGGAATTCCAGAACATTTTATTGTTTTAATGAGGAACTTGTACATGGATAAAGAGGCAGTTACATGAGCAGAAAGGGAGTGTTTCAGGTTGTAAATTCAGGAAAGGTGTGCGCCAGGATTGTA